GGTGTACCTAATAAAGTGGCCGGTGAGTGTATATAGTCTCGGCTATCAAACTAGAATGAACCTGGAAGCTGGAGGGGGGCGGAGTGTAAAGCGCCTCATTTGGATTTAAAGGGACAGCCTCAAAGCGAGTTGATCTGAGACACACTTCAGAAAAGGGGCGGGGCTTGTGGAGTTACAATAAGGAGGAATTCAGACCAAAGCATTGCAGTTCCACTTTACATATGACCMCAGCTGAATGATTTAAATGTGAAATAGAAGGATTTAAAAGCATCATGTCTACTTTTTATGTGGGGGAAAATTTGTGTTTTTTAAATTTTATGGCAGAAATACATCTTTAAAATTTGAGACAGAGGCAACAAAAAGCTGTAAAAATAAGAAGTATGATTAAAAAAACAGCTGCAGGATCATTTTACAGTAAATTAAAACAGGTCTCTGATGAGACTGCAGCTCCTAATGATTAACTTTGTTTTTAAATTAAGACTACCATTATTCTTCATGCCTCTAGTTTATTACTTTTTATTAGCATTTACAGCAAAAATACATTTTCCACATTTGAATAGAGGCCAGCAGACTATTTAACAAAAGAGTATCTGTATTATCAGTTCAAAGTTTTCACACATCGTCTCCTCATGAACTCTTTGTCTATTTCCTCAGTTCCGGATAAAATCTTGATTTACWTCTTTCTTCCGTTTCCAAAGCCAACAAACCAACTCACTAATGTGGAAATAGGATTTCCTCATTTTAGTCCAGATCACTAGTCAGGCTTTTATAATCTGCGTGGGTTTCCTGTGTTCAGGCTGGTTTGGCATCTGTAAAGCCGTCATGTTGAAGGGAGKGGGAAAACATTAAGCTGGCTGGTTTTACAGAGGCTACAGTAGCAGGGATGGGGAGACGAGGCTCTGTGCTGGTAAAGCCATCAGGACGGCTGCTGAGACTCATCCGAACAGTAAGTGAGATCTGTCAGCAGGTTTCTGGGCCTCTTGTTGGTGTCCTGTTGCCCAGGYCTGGCCCTCTGACAGCTCAAACCCACAAACAGGCTGTAGAAGCACCAACGAGCTGTTTGGTCTATCAGCTGAGACACACGCAGCGTTCAGTGCCAGCCCYGTCAGTCTGTTGGGTTTCACAGGTATTTTAATGAGAGTTCTCTCAGCCTGCAGCTTCAGACTCCTCAGACTTCAATGTTTGACCTAATTTGAAACAACCCTTCTTGTCTTGTTACTTTGTGTGGTTTTATGTGGTGCTGCGAGCTCAGAGTACGAGACGTCTGCAGGGTCTTGATGTGGAAAACACCTGGGGTGTAAAGAGAAAAACAGTCGTCCTTTTGGCTCAGTAAAAAAAGGACAAGATAAACAAGAACTGATCATGTTAAATCTTAACTCGAGCCTCACCTCTGCAGGCTTTTTAAATTAGAGTCCCCCACAGACCGCAGGCAGCTTTTGGTTCACAGCTTGGATGGTGAAACATAAMTGATACAACAGTTAGGTCACAAGTTCTCTGATGCAGTGCAGGACATTTCTAAGAGTCCTTCACACAGTCAGGTCCTTCTGGACTTTAAATATAYGAGTTACCCTTAAATGCCTCAATTCAGTGCAGTTTATTTATATAACAAAGTCACAACAAACRTCGTCTCAGGGCACTGTACACAAGAAAACAATTTAATTTAATACAGATTTTTTAAAATGAAAAATTACAGATTTTTGAGGCTCATCATTATACAGTTAAACATCTGAGGGGGTTGACGTGTGAAAACATGCAATTAAAGTGCCTGTGACATCAATTTTTTGTAATACATATGAATGCATTTTTGCAAAGATAACATTGATAAAATATTGCAAAATAAATTTCACGTCGCTGAGATGAACAGTTGTTGAGATATTTGCCTGTGAAGTAACAGGAAGTGACGTCAAAGGGGAATGTCTGCATGTGAACAGAGTGTTGTTACAACAGCCAACAACAGACTGTAGAGAAGAATCAGATGTTTCTAAAGATTATTTTTCATTCTCCATCAGAGAGAGTCAGTGTTTAAATAATATTGTTTCATTAAACAAAGACCAGAGAGTTTTCTTTGTTAAAGAGTTCCCCTTTGATGTCACTTCCTGTTTCACTTTGACTGAGTCAAGTTCAAAGGAAAATATGCCAGTTAAGGGGCAAAATGGATAAAACTGTGTGTATTATTCCAACGTTCTTAAATATAAAGATGTTTTCTTTGACTTTTTGTATTTGAAGAATATGCATGTCACAGGCACTTTAAAGTTTCTGTGACATCAGTTTTTTGTAATAAACATGAATGCATTTTTTTTGAAAGATAACATTGTTAACATCACCTGATCAGCTATTCCCTCATGGTTTTTTGTCATGTGTGTCTTCTTAAATGGGTGTTCTTAAATGTAATTTCATTGTGCTCCGTACAATGACAATAAAGGCATCATCATCATCATCATCATCATCATCTTGCAAAAAAAAAGTCATGCCGCTGAGAAGAACAGTTGTTCACATGTGAAGTAACAGGAAGTGATGTCAAAGGGTAATGTCTGCATGTGAACAGCACGTTGCTACAATGGTAACAACAGACTGTAGAAAAAAATCTGATGCTTCTTTAGATTATTTTTAAGTCTCTATTAGAGAGGTCAGTGTTCCCTTTGATGTCACTTCCTGTTTCAGTGACTGAGCCAAATTCAAAAGAAAATCTGCCAGTTATGTGAGAAAATTATTTAAATCGTGTTTTATTCCAAGTTTCTTATATATAAAGATGTTTTCTTTGACTTTTGTATTTGAAGGACGTGGATGTCACAGGAACTTTAAAGGCATATTACCACCTTTCATTCAGAGTTTTGAGGACGACTCTCAGCTACATCTCATTTTATCTCAGTGTTTATAACTGAGTTGTAGCAATTTAGCTGTGGCAGCCATGTTGAATTGAGTCCATAAACACTCTGAGGACCRTCTCATATTCTTATAGATATTCTTAGGTGGATTTTAAGGGGACGTGCTAACCCAAGACTTTGTTTCTCCTCTTCTGTTTTTCATGTCCAGGTCCTGCTTCCTCCGTACGATGACAACATCAGCGTCCCTCCCAAACAGGCTCCTCCCACCTACACCTCTGCTACAGCGTGAAAACATGCTGTTGATTCATGCTGTTAATAACATTCCCCAGCTAAACTGATGCACCACACTGCCTCACCGGTGAACATTGTATTCTTACATATATTGTAGCAAACAGATGGATGTCCAGCTAACGTCCACATGTATTCACCCTCACTGTGACCTCCCGTCTCCTCCTGCTATTACTGATGAACTTATCAGATGTCCAGTCCTGGTCCTCGAGGGCCACCATCCTGCATGTTTTAGAGGTTCCTCTGCACCAACACCTGATTAAAATGAATGATTAATGAGCGTCTGCAGTGCTTGAACAGGGGATTCAGCCTCTGAATCATGTGTGTGAGAGCAGAGAAACAAGGAAAACATGCAGGACCCTCCAGGACCAGGACTGGACACCCCCGACAGATTCTCCTGTGTTCAGTATCATTCCTGACACTTCTGTGCATTTTAATGTTTGAATCCAGTTAAAGCAACATATGGAAGCTGTAGAGAGTTTGATAGATAATATATATTTTTATTAATCCTATTTACCGTGTGTGTGTGTGTGTTCGTATCATGTGGGTCCCGTAGACGTGTCGATCTCGTGCACCGGTGCAACAGTGACGAGCTCRTAGCCCACAGTGATGGTGTGTGTCAGAATGAGAGAAGAGGTGTGTTTTGCTTTCGTCTCGTCTCTGCTCATGATCAGGGTYGGATTGCCTTCGTCCACAACTTTCTCTCTATCGGGCAGCGCTTCACGAGGCGTCGCCTGAATGTTTCCCAAAGAGGTGTACCTGCCTGTATTCTGACATGATCAAAGAGCGGCCTCGAGCGCATCCAAGATATCACCCACTTGTTGTTGTGTTTCAGCTGCAAACAGCATTGTGTAATCAGAATCTGTAGTGTTTTGTTGTGCTTCTTATTTACATTTTAAACGTGTGTTTCTACTGATGGACAAGAATTGCCTCCGGCTGATGTACGTAAGTCTATTTTTAAAGCACAGAAGAAGCCCTGATCTGGAATCAGTTTGCTCTTCAGAGTCACTGTGAATGAGATGCTGCAGTGAGCAGAATAAGAACCCTGGTTGTGTTTTTTCAATCAAGGCAGGAGCATTTGTGTAAACACGAGCCGCTTCCACCAGATGAGCTTGTTGGCTGGCTGCTCGATGGAAACAAAATGTCCTGCAGTCAGACTCCAGGACCACTGCTGTACGGAAAACAAAGTTGACATTTATTTGTCTAATAAAATAAAACTTCAACAGGTTTCGTGTTTCATTTCAGAGATGGAGCTTCTAAAAAAAAGTTGTAGGTGAACTGATGAACTGTTTATAATTAGTGCTAAAAAATAATTAAACCACACTCATTGCTGTGCAAATGTTATTATTGCATTTTAATCATGAATTTCAAATTTCTACTTCTACAATTTTAGAAAAAAAAATGCACATTTGAAATCAGAG